GAGCGCTCTCTGGCGGGGAGGAGATAGAGAGCCATCCGCTCCGCCCTGGAGCTCTTCTCCAGAAGCGGCTCCCCGCCAAGAGGCCGCTACAGGGAACCCTCCCTTCTCTCAGCCGGCACAGGAAGTGACGCCCCGTTCCACTCTGTCGCGACCGCCGTCCTATGACGTTGCGCCGCGGGGCGGACGGTATTTTCATGGGCGGCTACTCTGCCGAGCAGGCTGAGAAAAACGCCGGTTGAGGAAACGGGGGCTGGGGATTTAGCTTAGCGGCATAAGCACCTGCCTTGTAAGCAGGCAATCGCGAGTTCGATCCCTGGTACCGATTAAAAAAAAAAAAAAAAAAAAAAAACGAAAAAGACCAAAAATAAAAAAAAAATAAAAAATAAAAAATAAAAAGGGGGAGTAAGCCAAGGCCTGCCTCCAAAGGCACGGTTATCTATGGCATGACAATGGATGGGCCCGGATCCGGTGGTTAGCTGGAACCGAGGCGCGGTTTGTGTTTTTCTGCAGGAATCGGGACGAGAACCACTGTGGGTCCCAGAGAGGTTGCGACAAGTCCCTCGACTGAAGATCAGGCCTGTTCCACCAGAGGCCAACCGCAGACCCAACAACAAGATGAGCCCTAAAAGAACTGCAGGACAATCCCTTTTTGGGGAGCCTGGAATGGCTTGCTCCCCTATGTTTTACCATTGTTAGGTCCCCTGTGCTCCTTGCTTCTGCTCTTACTTGTAGGACCATTCTTGCTCCGATGGGTTACATCATTTATTAATGGGCGCCTTGCGGCGGCCTGGCGTCAAGTACGCCTGGTTGCCCATGCAGCCCTGGCAGCAGCCCGTGATGGGCACAATGACCCCCAGGCCTACGCATGGCTCGCTCTGGCCTACACCGGGTCTAGGTGTGGCGGGTCTTCCGCATTCCTTCCCTAATGACACCACACAGCAGGGTAGGTGAGTCAATGACGGGTAAGAGCGTGCCTCCCCAGCACGACTCGACCTAAGCCAGGCCCTACCCCATGGCGCACGAAAGCCGCTGGATTACTAGAATCTGCCCAGATCTAGATGCCTCTCCGAGGGGATCACACGGAGGGGCATGAGTGCATGCCTATGTGCATCCAGGTTCCGTCCAGTTCACTCCTGGCCCTGGAAAAAGGACGAGGGTCTCAAGGCCTTGGCAGACCCGGGGGCGGCCGACCAGGGTCCAAGCCAAGGGCCTACGGTGGGCCTCAACACAGGGCATAAGCCTCTGCACTCGATCCAGGGCGGGCTGCGATGCATACATTCATTCAAAGTAAATAAAATAGGGGGAGATGTTGGGAGCCGCCGACACCGGTCGCCTTACTTGGCGGACGTAGGGCCTGTGGGTGGGAGCGGAGCCTGAGCTAGATTGCCCCTCCCATCGAGTGAGTCAAGTTGGCGCCTGCTTCCTGCCCCCTGATTGCGCTGGCGACTTAAACAACCCGCTCTGTAAGATAGTCTGCCTAGCAACAGCTGATGTTAGCCAGTCAGCCCGCATCGCGCGCTTTGAACTGATTGGCTACTGTTGCCCTATAAAAGTGAATGCCTCTCCCGCCACGAGAGGAAGCACAGAGAGGAAGCACAGAGAGAGATAGAGAAAAGTCCACCGGCGAGAAAGGGCTGGTGGCAGAGAGGAGGCCTCGCGGAGCCCACGCGGAGATAAATAAAGGCAAGATTGCACACCGCCAGACTTTGTCGTGTGTCTTTCCTGCCGGCCGGGAGCGACATCGACACACCATGCCTTTCCTGCCCTGAAGCCAGCCAGACATGGACTGAATCTATAAAACTGTGAGCCAAAGTAAACATCTCCCCCTTTAATTTGTGGGCATTAGGTATTTTGTTCAGTGACAAGGAAAGTGACTAAGACAAAGCTAAACAATATTGAAGAGTCCTGTCCCAAAAAGTTTACTAAATTGATGAAAAACATCAACTCAGATTCAAGTTTTAGCAAAGCGAAGGATCATAAGCCCAAGGAAAACCACACTTTGGAATTTCATAATAAAACCTATGAAAACCAAAGACAACAATGGCACAAGTTACCATTATCTGTCATAGCAGATCTTACAATATTACATAGATAATAAGAGAATATTATGGACACTTTTTGCAAATGTGGCAATTTGAATTTTGAGAGAGAAATATGGGATAAACTCCCTGAAAAATCACAACTTGCCAAAAACAATGTAGAGCAATTGAGTAGTTATATTCTTTCAAAAGGAAAGTGAAAGTTGGCTATGATAGTGCCTACCTGTAATTCTAGCACTCAGGAGGCTGAGGCAGGAAGAACACTGTGAGTTTGAGGCTAGCTTAAGATGTATAATGTACTCAAGGCTAGCCTGAACTACATAGCAAGATCTTTCCCTAAAAAAAAAAAAAAAAAAAAAAAAAAAAGATGTTAAAAAGAGGTTTCTTTCAGAGTAATGATTAGGACAAAATAAGATGAAAATTTTTAGACTATGGGCAATACTATGTGTGTATGTCTTTTTGATTTTTTTTTTCTTTTTTGTCTTTTTCATTTTTATCGGTACCGGAGATTGAACTCACAACCGCCTGCTTGCAAGGCAGGTGCTTATGCTGCTGAGCTAGATCCCCAGCCCCTATGTATGTCATTTTGAGACAGGGTCTCACTATGCAGTGCAGGCTGGCTTTGAGCTCACTTTGTAGCCCAGGCTGATCTCAAATTCACAGCAATCCTTTTTCCTCAGCCTCTTGGGATCTGAGGTTGTAGGCATGCACCACCATGCCTCGCTCAAGAGTTGGCATTTTAGCTGGACATGGTGGTGCACACCTGTAATCTCAGCACTTGGGAGGCTGAGATAGGAGGATCATTACAAGTTCGAAACCAGCCTGGACTACAAAGTGAGCTCAACACCATGAACTACATAGCGAGACCCTGTCTCAAAAAAGCCAAAACAAAACAATAAAAGTTGGTGTTTTATAATATGGTAAAACTATTTTTAAAATATTCTGTTTTTGTGGGGTTTCTTGTTTGTTTGTTTTGTTTTGTTTTGAAACCAAGTCTTGCTTTGCAGCGCAGGCTGATCTTGAATGCATTATATAACCTAGGCTGGCCTTGACCTTATGGCAATCCGCCTACCTCTGCCTCCCAAACTCTCAGATTACCTTCCTGCACCACCATCCTGGCTTAAAAATATACATATTTTTAGATTTTACAATATAACACAGCTCTAAAAGGTGAAGGGAAAAATAAAAATACAAAAGAGATAATTGAAAAAATTCTAGAGTTCTAATAAAGCTAGGGTGTTCACTACTTGCATCCTGTACTGAGAAAACCCTTGGCATTCATTCTTACTAAGCCATCATGAGACCTCATTAGTCTGGTGTGGCAGTGCAGGCAGGTAATTCCTACACTTGGGAGACTAAGGCAGCATGACTGCCATGAGTAGGCAGGAGGACTGCCACGAGTTTGAGGCTTCCTCTGGGGTCTTATAGTGAGTTCAAGACAAGCCTATATTGTACAGCAAGACTCTGTCTCCAAACAAAACCAAAACAATAACCAACAAATGAAAAAAACCTCTTGAGGTGGATGTTATTTTTCCCAATTTAGAGAAAAAGCCAATGTTCAGAGAACTGAAGTCACCTGCCCAGGTCACATAGCAATGGCAACAGGGGCACTAGATTTGCCTGATTATCCTTTCTTTCACTTTTAACTGCTCAACATGCCACTTGCTGAACAGGTTCCTTTCCAGGAGTTAAATAAGCCAACATCTATCACCCAAACTAATAACTAGCAATTAACTTCTAGAAGCCTAGGATTAGCACCTCAAGTCCTCACAGCAACCTAAGAAGCCAGTATCATTTCCATTTTCAGGAGAGAAATTGAGACTCAGGGCAGGTAAATCACTATTCCAAGGACACAACTTTTTTTTTCCTCCAAACGGAAGTTGCCAAGTCTTTAAAATGGCCAGGCTGTGCTCAAACTTGCAATCCTCCAGCCTCAGCCTCCCACAGTGCTGGGATTACAGGTGTACGCACTATATACCTTGACACCAAATATCCTTCCTGGAGGGTCAATTTTGGATGTAATCCTCTTCCTCTAACCATGGAAGATAAGTGGTTTTTCCCTACTCTCTCTAAAAAAGAATGAATGAAAAAATTTAAGAGAAAGCTTTCAAGGAGCTATTAATACAACAGTGTGCTGGGCATGGCAGTGCATGCCTGTAATCCAGCACTTACAAGGTTGAGGAAGGAGGATTGCTGCAAGTTGGAATCCAGCCTGGACTACATAGCGAGTTTAAGACCATCCTGAACTGCACGGCCTGTCTCAAAACAAAAAAGCACTTAAGCAGATCAGGTTGGGGAGACAAGACCACAAAGCTGGACATCATTGTCAGGATTCTGGAAGGCGTGGCACAGAACAGAGGACCACAAAGGCATAGCTGAGAGGCTGAGAAAAGGAGGGTGGACAGAGGCGCCCTCAGTCCAACTTTCCCTTGCTCAGCCCTATTTCACCAAAGCTTAAAGCTGAACAGAAGATCGCAGTTCCTGGTTTTCATTGTTTTATTTTGGTTGGTCTTATTCTGTTTTGTTTGGTTTGATTTTATGTTATCTGATGGCATGCGCAGCTGTTTTGAAGATAAGATACATTATGGCAGCCATCGTTGATTTCGTATTATCTTGTTTGAATCTTGTATCACTTTCACTGTTTTGACTGGCTTTACTGTTTTGTTTGGTTTTATTCTAAGAAGAAGAAAGTAGAGGAAGCAAAGGAGGGAAAAGAAGAGGAAAAAAAGGAGGAAGAAAAGGAGGAGGAAGTAGAGGACGACGAGGAAAATAAAGAAGGAGGAGGAGGAGGATTGCAGACTAAATGGCCTCTCCTCTACACCACTAGCTACCAACTCTACAGTGGTCCAGCTCTCTGCTAGTGTGTGCCTGGCTGCTCCAAAAGGCTGCATATGCCTCCTGCTACGCATGCGTAACTGCCAGGTCACAGGTAACAGAGCCTTGTGCGGAGGGAGGAGTCCAGGCGGGGCGGGGCTTAGAAACGCATGCGCTCTTTGCCGCCACTGCGTGCGTTGGGCTCTTTTGGAGGGAAACACGCGCCGGTTTCTTGTCTGCGCGCTGCTGCTGTTTCTCGCTCTCGCTCGTAGCCTTCAGCTGTGTCCCAAGTGTGGGATACGACTCCAGGTAAACCCTGCCCATGGCACAGTTGTCTAGAACACTCCTGTCAGATAGCCCCATCTGAATCCTGACAGAGCTCCCCAAGTTGTAGGAGAAACTGGTCAAAACTAGGGCCTTATGGAAGCTTTGGCCAAATTGCCCCGGAAATGCCACAGGAACCCACTAGGAAATATGGCAGGTGACCCCTGAAATTCTCACAGAATCTTCCAGAAATTCTGGCATGCTTCTCAGAGCCCGAGTTTCCCTGGATCCTTAGAGACCCCCTCCCCCAATCCTGTCAGAGACCTGAAAATCTGTGGGAGGCTCGGAAACCTGAGAGTCCCCAAATCCAGCCAGATTCCCAAATCTCACCTCCCCAAAGTGCCACCAAGGACCAGCTTCTGCCAGGCTGGATGGAGATGTGTCCATCTCCCCAGCCAGTTGTGACGACGCAGGTCTGTAATGCCAGCACTCTGAAAGGCCGAGGCAGGAGAGTTGCCATGAGTTCCAGACCTGGTTATGATGGAGATGAGGCAGGACATGATCAGGGCACAGGAGAGTATCTTGCTCTCCAGGGACTCCAGAAAACCTCCTGAGGGGGCCCAAGAGCCTGGAGCAGGGCCATGGACAAGCAGACTTGTGGGGTGGTACTCAGGTAACATCCTAAACTGCGTCCTGAGAGCAGCAAGTTTGGGGGATGGTGCTGAGCTCCTATGAGCCTCAAGAGAGTGAGGGACTTAGGGGTTGTCAGAGAAAGAGAAAAATGACAAAAAGTGGCCAGGAGCTGTGTGTATCACTCCAGCCTGAGTGTCCTGGGGTACTAGGGAGCCATAGGACACCTGGGAATAGGTAGGGTCAAACTGGCACAAGAGGCCAGTGGTTTGAATCCGAGCTAAAACAGCAAGAATGCCAGCTGCCAAGCTAGGTATGATGACACACACCTGTAATCTTAGGAGGCTGAGACACTTAGGAGGCTGAGGCAGGAGAATTGCCTGTAGTTCAAAGCCAACATGGCCTATATAGTGAGGCCCTGTCTCAAAAAATAGAACAACATGGGGCTGGGGATTTAGCTCAGTGGCATAAGCACCTGCCTGGCAAGCTTGAGGTTGTGAGTTTGATCCCGAGTACCACAAAAAAAGAAAAAAAAAAGTGGGGCTGGGGATTTAGCTCAGTGGCATAAGTGCCTGCCTGGCAAGTGCAAGGTTGTGAGTTCAAGCCCGGTACCAAAAAAACAAAAACAAAAACAAAAACAAAAACCAACAACAACAAAAGACTGCAGCTGTCAGGACCACATGGGAGCCCAGACACACCTGATTTGTTCTGGGTGCAGGTGAGAAACGTTTTTCAGGGAGCAGCGATAAGAAGGCAAGCCAAGCATCCCAGCAGAGACCAGAGATAGAGACAGTTGGGCCAATTTGAGGAACAGGGTATAGTTTGGAGCTGCTGGAGAATTCAGTGTGATTCAGGGAGGAGAACCAGGTGGCCAAGGTGGGCCTTTGTCTGCCAACTTGATCAGATTCTGTCCTTGGTGCTGGGAAACCAAGGGAAGGGGAAGACGGGTCTGCTCGTGGGAATGGCCTAGAGCCTGGGGGTGGGAAAGGAGCTGAGGCAAGTGGCTGACAGGCTAGTCAGGTGAGAGCATAAGGAGAATCACCCTGATTCCACAAGGGACGTAGTAGCCCCCTCCCACTATCCCCACTTTGATCTCCACCACCCACTCCCAAGGTCCTGTTTTGCCAACCATAAAACAGGCCAGAGCAGGAGCTGGCCAGTGTGGGCAGGGCTGGCAAACAAGTTCTGAGAACCCAGAGGGCCCAGGCATAGGAGGAAGGATGGGTCCCCACCCGAGGGTGGCTGCACTGAGAAAGCCACGCCTTTTGTGTCCTCCTAGGTGCTCTCTGGGCAGCCAGTCCCTTTCCCGACCCTCCCAGGCTTGGAGAGAAGCTGATAGCCTCTCGGCAGCCACAGAGGCAAGCTTGGCCCATGGACCAGCCAGACAGCCAGGCTGGCGGCCCAGCTGCAGAGGGTGAGTAGCTGGGCCCTTCCTGACCCCAGAGGTGGAGGGATCTAAGGTACACGGGCATCAGGCTGGGACTCCAATGGGTGGTGCAGTCCTGCTGGCCTGCGTACCTACTCTATGCCCACCCACCTGTTCGTGCCACTCATCTGCTCTGGGGAGGCCACACCATACACCCAGAGTCCCCTTCCCCTCACCTGCAGGACCCCTCTATGCGGGGCGCTACCCCACTCCCTGAACCTGTTTCTTCAATAAACCCAAGGCCCTGTTGTGCGCTCCCCTCCCTGTGTCACTTTGCTGTGCACTGACACGTTTGTGGTCTGTTTCATCTCTGAGCTCCACAGGCTGAGGCTGATTTACTCCCAGTCCCTAGCAAGTGCTGCCCCACAGAAGGGTTGTATGAGTCACGTATGTAATTTTTAATTTTTTTTTGGTACCAAGGTCAAACTCATGACCTCACACTTGCCAGACAAGTAATAAGATTTTTAACCTCATATACCCTAATAATCTTTTCTGCTATTAGCAATATTAAAATGTACAAGGACTTTCCTTTCAAATGTCATCAAGACCTAGTGTGTATTTGACAGTAACAGTGTCCTGGGTGCCACTCACCCCAGCTCAGGTGCTCAGAAGCACGTGTATGAGTTGGTTCTATGCCTAACATAGCAGGAACTGTCACTGTGTGGGGCACATGGGCGGCTGCAGAACCGGCTTCTGGGGAAAGGTGATGGGCCACTGCTTCCACCCTTAAGGGAGCACATCCTGATGGAAGAAGTCAGGCGCCTTTCTCAGAGGCTCCCCAGTGTCCCCCAGCACAGCCTACAGCTTTTCCCAAGGCCCAGGCCTGGCCACTGGCCACTGGCCAGGCTTTCCAGATAGGAGGTCTGAGGCCCTCACCAGGATGAGGAGACAGAAGTCAGGCTCACTAGCTGAACTACCACCTAAATATCACTTGTGCCAGCAGAGGGCGTACAGGCACCAGGAACCATGGACCAGGGCTGAGCCAGTTTGGCGGGCTTCCACAGAAAAGGGAAGACACACCCAGAAGGCAACAGTGCCAGGAGGGGTGGCAGAGGGACAAGCAGACACAGAAAGACAAGGAAAGAGACAGGAACAGAGGAAGAAGAGAAGGCTGGGGAAGAGAGTTGCCAAGATACAGGAAGAGAAGCACAGAATTGGAGAGACGTGTTGCCAGTCAGAGCACAGGAAAGATGGAGAGGAAGTGGAGCAGAGGACAGAGAGGGAGGCCCTGAGTACTGAGTGAGACACTGAGGTGACATCTCCCTCATAGCCCTGGGAAGGGACTGCAGATGTGCTGGTCCCCAGATCTCCTAGCATCACCCAGCTCAGCTCCCCACTGCGCAGCAGCCTGGGCAGGTGACCTCACTGGAGCACTGAGGCCTCTCCGTAACACAGGACAGAGGGTGACCAGAGCCCTGCCTTCCCACTCCCCGAGGGTTCCAGCCATCAGGGCCAGTTATGGTCACAAGACTTAGGAGGTTGGGAAAGGGAGTCCCTCAGCTGGACAAGGGACCCTGGGCAAGTTCCTAAATCCCGGGCCTCAGTCTCCTCATCTGTAATGTGGGGCTGAGGAGAGCTGCCTCCCATGCTCACATGAGGTGTGGCACCTACTAAATGTTCCACAAGTACCTGCTGTATCACTGCATCTCTGCCACATGCCAGGCCTCTCCAGATTCCATGCCCCACCCCCAGGACGGTAACATGGCATCCAGGCCCCAGTGGAGCAGCTGAGGCAGGGAATCTCTTTCCCCAGGCACTACTGCATGTCCAAGCTGCAGCCCAGGTGTCTCAAGCCAGCAGCCTGTGCTCAGGAAGCTGCTGCCACTGTCTAGGGACCTGGAAGGTTGCTGCTGGCCCTGGGGGGACAGTGGGACCAGCCTCATGGAGACCTCTTCCCATGTTACAGAATGCATGTGAGTGTGTGCTGCGTGCAGGCAGTGTGCAACTAGCAGTGAACAAACAGCCCCTCGGGACACACAGACACACACAGACACACACACACACACACACACACACACACACACACACACAGAGCTGGCTCTCCCAGGCCTGGTAAGTGGGGATCCATCTACCCACCCTATCCGTGCTTTACTGGGAGGTGTTTGAGGCTCCAAAAGAAGCGACCTCACCACAGACACACAGGCAGCTCAGAGGCAGATCTGCCTGGCCAGATCCAGCTCCTGGTCACCGTCCTGCTGCCCACCCTGCTGTGACCCATCCCTTTGAGTCTTGGGGCTCTGGCCCAGGACTTGGCTCTGGTGACGTCAGCCTTGCCTAGGGATGTGGGGAGAGAGAGCCTTGGTCCCTGGGGTAGGCTGTGGACCGGAGATGCGGAGATGCGCTGGTGGGATCAATGCAGGCTGCCCACACTTTATTGGATTGTTCCTGGCTGGGGCGGGAGGGGGCACGCCCTCAGCTCCTCCCAGAATCCTCCCTTCTTGCCCTCCCCCACACCTGCCCCCTCTGAGCCTGGCTGATGAGACTGGAGAAGCCAGGAGGACCAGGTGATCTCAGAGCTTGTCATGTATTCCCAGGCCCCCTGGACAGGGCAGAGCAGGGGACTTCCTGGGCCGAAAGATGCAGTGCCCTTGGGGGGCTCAAAGACCGTCACTCCTCCCTCACCTGAAGCTCCCACCTTCCCCACCGGCCCCAGTCCCAGGCAGCTCCAGTTGCGTCCCCTCCCTTGGGAGCCTGAGGACCAAGGACAGTGTTGCCCTCTTCCTCTCTGCTCTCTGACTGGGGGCCTCGTCCTCTTGTCTCCTCAGTTTACCTCTGGGAGCAGCCAGAGGACATGAGCCTGGGGCCACTGCTCAGCTTAGAGGAGCAGATTCTCAACTCCACGTTCGAAGCTTGTGACCCTCAGAGGACAGGTGGGCGGGGTAGGCTGAGCACCTCGGAAGCAAGATGGGGATGGAAGTGACAGGGCTGGGCAAGGCAAGAACACGGCAGGTGACTGACCATGGGAAGCTTCATTCAGTAAAGAAGAGGATGGGGCCAAGGCAAACCTGGGGGCCATAACAGAAGGTGGCAAGTCTTTGGGATCCTGGTGGGAATGAGGCTGCTGTCCCTCAGCTCTGTCCTCATTGGTCTGCTTGGTGAGGTGGGGTACCTGGGCCCCACTTCCAGATAGAAAAGTTGACCTAGAAGAGAGAAAGAGACTTGTCTTAACATGTCCCCGTGGGTGACATTCTGTACCCATGCTACACTTGGTCCCTCTGTGCCACCCACCCGCATGGCGTGCTCTGTCTCAGGCACTGTGGCTGTGACCCGTGTGCTGGCCTACCTAGAGGCTGTGACTGGCCAGGGACCGCAGGATGCACGCCTCCAGACATTGACCCAAAGCCTGGACCCCAATGGGGAGGGTCCTGCAGCCACTGTGGACTTGAACACCTTCCTGGTGGTCATGCGGAACTGGATCGCTGCCTGTCAGCTGCATGGGTGAGGTCCTGCACCTCCAGCCTCTTCCGGGTAGTCCTTCCCAGAATCCAGCCTCGAACCAGGCCCATAGAAGGAGGGGAGGGGAAGAAAAGTGAAGAGCGGGTTGGGTAGGGTGAGAGGACAGAGTGCCTGGGAGATGGAGGCACCTGGGATCTCTGAGTCAGAACTGAAGAGGCCCAGAACTAAAGAGGGAGAAGGGGAAAGCTGGGAGGCTCATGACCCCCACCCCGTCCCTTCCCAAACCCAGTCCCCACCCCTCCTGCTTTCCCATCTGGCCCCAAGGCTTGCCATCTGCCCTCACCTTCCTCCCCACAGGGCCACAGGACCACAAGCTCACCTGTCCTGGCCCCCTCTGCCTGCCCAGCTTGGGCCCCCTGCAGGGCCAGGTCAGGATGGTGGCAGGGTGGCTGCAGGGGCCTTAAGCCTCATCTCTTTGATACAGGGGATTAGAGCTGGGAGAGGAGACCGCCTCTGAGGGAGCCCTGACCTCCCCGCAGCTGCCATCTGGTGAGAGCGCTATATATAGAGTGAAGCAGGTGGACCCAAGGGGCAGCCCGTGGGGGGACTTCCGATGGGGCAGAACAGGGGATAATGTGTGACCAGGACCTTTGCTTTCTCCTGGAGCTGTGACTTTGGCTTTCTTGGTGCCTTGTGTACCTGCCCCTTTGTCCCTTCATTGAGCTTTTGGGGTGGGTTTCTTCCTCGGAACTGTTCAACCCTCCTACCAGCAGCAGCCTACAAGAGAGCCTTGCAGGGCCCACCCACCCCTCCTTACTCGGCAGTCCCCAAGGTCCCCCGCAACACAGGTGCCACCTGGGTTTGTGCCCAGGCTGTTTGCAGCCAGACTTCCTGCACCTCCTCAACCTTTGCACCTTGGGAAAAGGGGAAGCCCTGATCTGCCCAGGCCTGCGGCTCCTGCTGTCTCCACTCTCTCTTCTTGGAGCTGTTTTCACTGGCTTAGTCCCTGCCCTCCTGTTAGGTTAGCGGGTGTGCTCACCACCCTGTGCCCGGGATCTGGCTCAGCCATGGAGTACCTGCCTAGCTTATGTGGCTGAGGCAATGGGTTCCATTACCAGCCCTGAAAGTGGGGGGAGGCGTGTACACTTCTCCATCCTTACAAAGCTGGAAATGAAGTGTTTTTGCCGCCATCTTGAACCTTCTTTGTGAGCTTGGGGCCAGGGGAGGGCTGTGAGCCCACAGGAACAAGCCAGACAGTGCAGGGCCAAGAGGGCAAGGATAGAGAGAGAGACCAGAATCCAGGAAGCTTGAGACTTGTGGGGACAGAGAGAAAAGGGTAGTGTCAGAGAAAAGAGCCAGGGGAGCCCAGTGGCTGGCAGCTGGCAGGAGACCTGCAAAAGGAATTGGGTTGGGGAAGTTAGGGTGTCCCAGGGTGTAGAAGGGGTGGGGGAGGGGGTTTATCCAAACACCCAGCCTGGGTAGTGATGAGCCAGGGGCCTTTCCAGGGGGAGTCCTCTAGGGTCTCATAGCCCAGAGAGCGCAGAGGAAAGGGGAGTGTGGAGGTTGTACCCCAGTGTTGAAAGTCACCCAGCCTAGCCTGCTTTCTTCTGCCCCCCTCCAGGATGCCCAGAAGCCGAGGAGCCAGCCAACCTGGAAAGCTTTGGAGGCGAAGACCCTAGGCCCGAGCTGTACCTACCCTCAGATCCCCGCCCCAGCCCCACTCTGTCTCTAGTTCTCCAGATGCCTGGGTTGGGTAGGGCTTGATGCCCAGTGGTGATGGATATGGGCGGGTGCAGGGCAGGGGCCTTGCTAAGCTCAGGGAGAGCAGAAAAGTCCGGCCACTCTTTCTGTTTCTCTGAGCACCCCCATCACCAACACCTACACCCACCTGACCTGGGAGAGGGCGAGGGGCAGCACAGTGACCACACCTGTCACTCTCCAGGTCTGCCACTGCCGACCTGCTGAGCACCCTGGAGGACCTGGAGCTCAGCAACCGGCGGCTGGCTGGGGAGAATGCCAAGCTGCAGCGCAGCGTGGAGACGGCTGAGGAGGGCTCTGCTCGCCTCGGGGAGGAAATTCTGGCCCTACGAAGGCAGCTTCGCAGGTGGGCTGCACCCTGGCCACCTGCCTCACAGCCCCAGCCCAGCCTCATCTGCACCCCCCCCCCCCCGCTGGGGGCCTTTTCTCCGGTTGCTGTCTTTTAGCTTTCTCTTTTGCATCTCAGTCCCCCACCCTTTCTGGTTTTGTCAGTCTTTTCCTTTAGCTGTGGATCTCACTCCTCACAACCCATTACTCACAACTGAACTCAGTGTCTTCACGATGAGCTACATTCCCAGCCAGAATCTCACTGAATAGCTCAGCCTGCCCTTGGGCTTTTGATCCTCCTGTCTTAACCTACCAAGTGCTGGGATGACAGGCATGGACTCCTCTGTCCTTCTCTCCCTGGCCCTCTGTGGCACTGGCCTTGTCCTGCCTCTGTGCTTGTGCCCCACGTCTGTCGTGGTCCTGTTCTTTAATCGCCCACTTTCAGGTTTCTGTCCCACCTCCTCAGTCTTTAGGTTGAAACTGAGTCTCTGTGGCCCCTGCTACAGAAAGGGCAGTCTCTGTGCTCCCTTTCTCTCTTAGTCTCTGTTCCCTTGCTGTGTGGCTTGATCTGCCCCACTGAGTGCCTGCCACTGCCCTCCCCACTGTGGGATTTCTCTGGCTGCTGTCTAAGTGGATCTGTCTGTGTCTCTACCTTGCTCTCCTCACATGGCTCCTTGCCCCTTCCCGATCAGTACCCAGCAGGCTCTGCAGTCTGCCAAAGCTGTGGGCGAGGAGCTGGAGGACCTGAAGACTCTGGCCAAGAGCCTGGAGGAGCAGAATCGATGCTTGCTGGCCCAGGCCCGGCAGACGGTGGGTGCTGGCCCCTTCCCTCCTCCTTGGAGTCGGAGCAGCTGCTCCAGGTCCTGCTCACTTTGTCAGGCCTGCCTACACTCCTGCTGCAGTAACAGCAGGAGCCATTCACCTATCCCTGGGCTACATTTGCTTTGTTGTTTTGGGGAGGTTGTTGAAGTGTTTTTGTTTTTGTTTTGAGACAGGGTCTCACTTTGTCCTGCAGGCTTACTTTGAACTCACTGTGTAGCCTGTGCTGGCCTCAGACTCATGATGATCCTCCTGCCTCAGCCTCCTGAGTGCTGGGATCACAAGCATGCACGACCATGCCCAGCCTGGCTTGGTTTGATTTGGAGTCAGGGACTTGCTGTGTAGTTCAGACTCCCTTGAAACTCAGTGACCCTGCTGCCTCAGCCTGCTGAGCACTGGGATTACAGGCCTGAGCTGCCACACTCAGCTCCCAGGCTGAGGCGGGGAACTCTTGAGGCAGAGTCTAGAGTGAAGCCTTTGTCCTCTTGGCTTGGTCAGGAGAAGGAGCAGCAGCACCTGGTGGCGGAGGTGGAGACCCTGCAGGAGGAGGTAAGCCAAGGCCTGGCAGCACCTGTCCCCCTGCTAGGCCAATGCCCCAGGAGCCCACAGCTTAACAGCTTGAGCCTGCAGGTGAGCCCGTGGCATCCCAACAGCGTGTGAGTGCCCTGGGCTACGTCACAAAGTAAGAGCTACACCGTTGACAAGAGCGGGCTCGGGAGGGTCCTGGGCTTGCCTGATGGCCACCGAGGTGGGCACGGACCATTGCTCCCCTGCTGTGGCTCAGCGTGAGCAAAGCAGAAGACACAGGTAGACGTGGAGGACATGCTTGCCAGGAGTTGGCTAGCACCATTTATGTGTCAGCTCTACTTATGGTAAAAAGAACATGGGCTTTAAAGTCTTCCCTGAACCGGGGATTTAGCTCAGTGGTGTAAGCACCTGCTTGGCAAGCACAAGGTCATGAGTTCAATCCCTGGTACAAAAAAAAAAAAAAAAAAAAAAAAAAAAAAAATCAGCCCTGAGTTCAGATTCCTTCTCTGCCACTTACACAGCAGGTAGTTTCAGACACAGAGCTTGTCCTGTCCAAGTCCTACTTTGTTTCTGCTTTACGGTACTGGGGATGAAACCTAGGCCTCAAGTGTGCTAAATAAGGGCGTCACACCTGCAGCCCAGTATCACCCCCTGAGCTTTAGTTCCATTCTCCAAGAGCCAAGGAGGAGACTTAGTTGTTCTGTGAGGCTGTTGTGAGCTGTAAACACTAGCCCTCCTGCCAGGGCTCGCCTGTCTCAGCAAGTGGAGTTCAGCCTCACATCCAATCCCAGCCTCATTTCATGAGACAGAAAACGTCATCTTAGTTCGTCCTGGATCCACCTAGTTCTTGTAGCTGAAACTGGAATGCCACAGTGATGGCATTGCTGGTGCCCACTCCGCCCTGAGGTGGCATCTGAGTTGCAGGGGATCCACAAGGGGCCCTGGTGCTCCAGGAAGCTGCAAGTCTCCGCCGCATACCCATCCTCTCAGCTCCTCAGGAGATGCCTGATCTTTCTCCCATCTGTTCCCAGCCTAGGGAGGCCCATGCTGCCTGCAGATCTCTGCACTCACAGTCCTGGCCGTATCTGCTGGTGGCGCCTGCAGCCATCTGCACACCCTTCCAGGGCCCCAAGGAGGTCTAGCTGTTTCCCATGGGCACACAGGGCCTTGCCAGGCCTCACATGGCATTTATTAGTCCTTCCCATCTGTGGATCTGAGGTTGAGCTGGGAAGGGCGCAGAGCCTCTCGGATTCCCAGACTTGCCTGGGACTCTGCTGTTCTGTGTCCATCCCCTCTACCCCTCACAGCTTGGGGCTAGCTCAGGACTCATTTTCAGCCTCTGACCTCCTTTTTTTTTTTTTTCTTATACTGAGCTACATCCCAGCCTGCTACTTTTTTATTTTGAGATGGGATTTTGCGAAATTTCCCAGGCCATACTCAAACTTGTGATCCTCCTGTCTCCAGAGTGCTGAGATGACAGGTGTGGTTTTTCTCTGACTCTTCAGCACTTTCCCCCAGGTCTGAGCATCTCTGCCTGGTCAGGGTGGACCACATATTCCCTCTAAAGCTGTTGATCCTCTAGATAGGATTTTTACCTTGTCTCTGCAATTTTTTCCATTATAACATGGTTCTTTTGTCAGTCCCTGCCTGGGACAGTGGGAATCACACAGCAGGTGGCCACCCTGGTATGAGGTGTTGTGTGAGTGTGGACAGGATGAGATGGTTTCTTCCAGAGCATCTTTTCTACAGATGAGAGAAAGGCTCTTCCTGGCACCCACCTCTTCACACCTGATGGCCTCCATGGACCGCAGAAGTGACAAGCAGGGGAGTGGCAACCAGCACCCCTGCTTGGAAGTGGCAGAGAAGGCCTCTTTCAGCCTCAGCCTGTAGTACCAACACTGAGGTGCAAGCTGCAGCCATTCTGGGTCAGCACCCTCACCCAGCTGCCTACAGAGCAGCTGTAGATTGAGGTCTCCGGTTACCATTATGGTTACAGTGACGGAGGATAATGCCAGTAATGTGACACTTGCCCGCCCAGAAGGACACTCAGAGGACAAGGGCAGGCTCTGGTTTCTGCAGCAGCAGCTGAGTACCAAGTGCCCCACCGAGGGGCCCAGGCTCTGGCCCGTAATCCCTGCCAGGTGGACAGATGTTGATGCAGCACTCCTGCCCGTCCTTCCTTCACCCTTCACCTGGCAGCCCAGGCCGCTGAGACTGAGACTGAGCTGAGCGAGGGCAGCTGATGGAGAACTTGGAGCCCAGCCTGTGGAGCAGGATGGCGCTGGCTGTAGTATCCCCAGGCACAGAGGAGGCCACACCTGAAACACCAGCCAGACTGCATTGCTGCCTAATGCACTCCCTTTGAACACTTCCTCACCAAGCACATCCCTGCTGTGCAGCTTGGGGGAGGCTTCTGGTGCTGGACGCATCAGGCTGCAGTTTGGGCTGAGTTGCACTGGCACCCTCTGCCATGTCCACCCCTGCTTGCCCTGCCCTCCTGGTGGCCAGGTTGAGGCTGCTTCCCTCAGCGCCCTGTTCTCACCCAGCACCGCATCTTCTATGGGGGCAGCCTGAGCTTGCAGACAGGGATTTGAGCTTACATTGCTGGGGTCTGCACCCACTTCCCCTCATTGCAAGCTTGGCCAGGGCTCCTAGCCCCGAGCTCCTCTGCAGTCTCCGTGAGGCTGGCAGCGAGGCTAGCGCGGAGCACTGCCTGGGAGCCTGCTGCAGGTCCCAGATGACCCTCACCCCAGCACAGAATAACAGCAGCCAAATGCAAATGCACCAATGGCACAGGACAGATGACCTGGATTTTATCACAGACAAGGGGCCCAAAAAGTACCTGTGAGGAAAATGACTGTCAGATTAAAAGAAATGACACATTTCAACCCAAGGCAATGACAGGCCTTGTTCTACACAGGAACCTCAGCTCCAGGTTGAGCTATGTGGCAAGGTCCTGTCTCAAAAAAAAAAAAAAATACTGAATTAAAGAGTTAAGTATCTGTGTAAACATGCATAGCATGTATTGAGCACTGTGGGCACTGGCTGGCAGTGCCTATGCTCACTGGCATTCAGCAGCATGTGGCATGACAGGCAGGTTGTGTGGCCTCTCTGTGCTTGAGTTGCCTCTATCTTTAAAATAGGGACTGGGAACTGAGCTGACACAGGTGAGGTGCTCCAGAAGTGTCAGAAAATACTAGTGAGTGATTGAATCCTAAGAAAGACCTAGGAAGCAGGTCCTTTTTATCTTTCCCCCATGCCTACTCCCATTCTGGGGGTTAAACTCAGGGCCTAGTGCTCTACCACCAAGCTCCATCCCCAGCATTTTTTTAAATTTCAGATGAGTCTGGCTAAGTTGCTCCAGCCATTCTCAAACTTGAGATCCTCCTACCTCAGCCTCCCAAGTAGCTGGGACTGTAGGCATGTACCACCATGTCTGGTTCCCTTTTGGTTGATGGGATGCGCACACAAAGAACTCGGAGTTGAGGCTCCACTGAAATGAGGGGATCGAAAGGGCCACACATGCGAAGCGCCTAGTGCAAGGCCAACACCCTGAGTTTTCAGCAAATGACAGTTGTTGACATAAGTGTCAACATGCTCTGAAGCCAACTGTCCCGTGCACTGTTCTCTTGGGGCTGGGGATTTAGCTCAGCGGCATAGGCCCCTGGCCTTGCCAGTGTGTGGTCATGAGTCCGATCCCCGGTACTGATAAAAAAGAAAAAGACCAAAACAAAACAAAAAAACAAAAACAAAAAAAACCCTGTGCACTGTTCTCCAGAATGGGAAGCTGCTGGCCGAGCGGGAGGAAGTGAAGAGGAGAAGTGAGGAGCTGGCCACAGAGAAGGACGCCCTGAAGGTGCTGCCTCTGCCTGCTGCCGGACAGCTTTCCCCTGCAGGGCCACTGTCACTGTCCCAGGTTCAACTACCAAGGCCCTCCCCGACTGAGCACAGGACTCCTCTGGCAGGATCCAGCTCTGCAGCTCCAGAAGCTCCCCTGGGACCCCCTTGGCATAGCTGACATCCACATTGTCACAGAGGGGCCAAGGAGAGGCCTGGGAGCGGGGTGGTGGGGCCCAGGCCAGGGCATCCCGCAGGCTGGAGACAGATGGGCTCCTTCCTTGGCAGCGGCAGCTCTATGAGTGCGAACGCCTCATTTGCCAACGGGACACCATCCTCTCCGAGGTGAGGGCCCCCATGCACATCTGCCCCTAACCTGTCGTCCCAGAGTGGCCAGAAGGTGTCCCTGAGGTCACAAGCATGGGATCTGGAAGCCACTCTTCCCTGGCTGTCCCCTCTCAGCCCCCAGCCAGTCCCATGATGAGTAGCCTCTGCCTCTGGAGGCCTGGGCCTGGCCTCAGCTGGCTTTGTGTTTTCCCAGCGTGCACGCCACACCGAGAGCCTGACCAAGACAGTGGAGGAGTATAGAGCCACCACGAGGGTAAGTGCCCAGCCTGCCATCCAGGGGACCTGCTGCCACCTCTCTGCACACAGAGCTTCAGCTGTCTCCCATGTCTTCCTCTGCCTTCCAGGATCCCTCCCTCCTTCCCTCCCCCACTCCTCTCCGTGCTTCTCTTCTTGGGCCAACTCCCTGCAGCACTTGTTTTGGCCTCTGGGCCACTCTGGGCTCCTACCTTTGTCTCTCACATCCTGTGCCTCCCTTGTCCCTCTCTGAGTCAGTCTGTTACCATCCGTACCGCACTTTTCCAGAGGTCCCCACCTCTGCTGCCTTCCCATACTTTTCCTGGCTGTGGTGCTGTCTCTTTGGCTTCCTAAGTGTGTCACTGCTCTCTTCCCCTGGTCCCTTGGCACTGCGAGTCTGGAGAAGTGGAGAGGAGTAAAGAGTGGGCAGAATGGAGAACCCAGTGTCCTGCTCACCTCCCCTGCAGGAACTGAGGCGGGAAATCTCTCACCTGGAAGAGCAGCTGTGTCAGGCCCAGGAGGCGCCAGATGAGTGAGTGGGCGATGGGGTGTGGGGAGGAGCCTGAGGCAGGCAGGCAGGGCCCCTGGGGGTGGGCTGGCACTGGCCATAAACAGAAACAGCATCCATGTCTGTGTGGCCAGGTTGCTGGAAGATGCCCAGGCCAGAGGAGTGGGCTGGACCATGCCCCTGCCCCCATCACTGGGCTTGGAGATTGAAGCCTCTTGGCAGGTAGGCCTGACACCTCTGGACTATACTGGAGGCCAAGACAGAGTCCCTCCAATCTGATACTCACATTTGGCCTGACCCATGGCCCTGAAGCTCTCTTGGTGAGCCCCTAAAGCACACTGCTGCCAAAGAGCTTCCCACCCTAAACTCAGTTCTTTTCTCCTACATCAGTTCCCAACCCCAAATCTACCAGCAATGCAGGCCCAGCCCTGTCCCACCCTCCTTTTGGCCATCTCAGTCCTCCACCTTGTCCCTAACCTGTCTCCAGGCCCCCTGCCCACCCTCACATCAGGCCTCCCCCACCTCCCACCCTTCCCAGCCCCACACCTGCACCCTCTCCACCTCTGTCTGGCCCTTCCTAATCTCAGAAGTGGCTTCTTCCCAGAAGCAAGAAGTGGCAGGTGCCAATCTCTGCAATCCCCTTTGTGGAGTGTGGCACTGGGGAGAGACCAGCCAGGAGGAACCCGAGGCTCCATCTGAAGTCCCAGACAGGGGACAGGTGAGCAGGGAAGGGCATGATGCCACAGGAACCCCTTCATACCTTTCCCCTGCCCCCCATGACCTGCTTCATGAGCAGATGCTTCCTGAAAGCCCACTTCATGCCAGACCTCAAGCCCCCAAGCCACGTGAATACCATCCTTGTCTTCTTGGGATAGACTCGCAAACACTAATTGAGCAGTGGCTTCCATTAATAAAACCCTGCCAGGGATCATTTTACCTAAAATTGTAGCCAGGCATGGTGTTACATACCTGTAATCCCAGCACTCAGGTGGCTGAGACAGGAGGATCTCTGTAGGCTCACGACTTGTCTGAACTACATAGTGAGACCCCATCTCAAAAAAAAAAAAAAAAAAAAAGAGAAGGAGAAGAACATTAAGTGGTTCAAAGAATGAAGCCTTTCCAGGCAACAGGAACAGCCTCAGGGGCCTAAATCCATATCACACTTGGGGGTCCTGGTGGCTCAGGCTGGCTACTGAGGGCTGAGGCCCGGTCAGGTGGTGAAAGGGATCCCTGTCATCCTGAGATGTGGTGCTTTTCTCTGTGGGACCACAGAAAGGCTCGGTGCAAAGGTGTAGGGATGAGCTCTAACAGCAAAGAGCACTCTGGGCTGCGTGAGGGACCAGTTGGAGGCCTTGGGGACAGAGCACAGGGACATGTGATGAGGATGGAGTGGACAGGGCTAGGGACAGCCAGCTTCAGGAGTGAGTGATGAGAAGACAGCAGCCAGCAGCGGCATAAGTGCCTGTCTCGCAAGCAGGCAGTCGTGAGTTCGATCCCTGGTACCGGTAAAAAGGAAAAAGACCAAAAAAAAAAAAGAAGACAGCAGCCAGATGACATCCTGAGGGCCACCATAGGCAGCTGGGCACACAGGCAGTGACTATGTTTGAAAGCAGTGTCAGGTCTGTGATGGGCGGAGGTTGGGGAGGTAGCCTGGGGCGCACAGAGGCCCTAAGGTGGGGGCTGGCAAGTGGGAGAGATGCATGGGAGTCCAGGCCACCAGGCCCTTGACTCCTGGGTTCTGCAAGAGGGCATGTGGGGACTCGGGAACAGCTGTCCTATTTGTGGCTTCTGCCCTGGGAGGGTGACATAGTCACACAGGAGAGACCTTAGAAGGTAGAGAACTCACAAGAGGCATGTGCACGGTTCTGGGGCGCAGGGGCGGTGGGGAGGGGGGAGCGGGAACTGTGCAGCAGATGGGGCCAAAGCCTGGGGCAAGCGTTCTGAGTGGCAAGAGTGAGGGCCACTTGTCCTTTTCATTCCCACAGAGAAACTCAGAGGAAGAGCCAGAGCCTGAGTGCCCTGCAGGAGTGGGAAAGGAGCTGTCCCCAGGGTAAGCAGCGAGGTCATCACTGAGCAGCTTCTTACTCCCAGTGACACCATTCACCCCCAGTGACCCCACTAGTGGATGAGTGTCTCCCCTTCACTCACACAAAACCTTGCTGAGGGGCCCAGGCCTGTGGCCAGAGCTGGGCGAGACCCTGACAGCTCTGGGTGAGCTGTGGCACCTGGAAAAGGCAACCCGAGGGGGCCTGCAGCACCAAGGGTTTAGCCCAGGAGCAGCTTTGAAGGAGGCAGGGTGGTCACCTCCTGCTAGGCACACCCTCCTAGACCTTCGGAGGCCAAGCAGGGATGAGACCCTCATGGGTGTTGCTGGACCACCTAGACTTAGCACTGGGCTGGGAAGCACATTGGCTGTACCCCTAAAGCCCCATCCTGGTGACTGACACATGGCTGTCACAAGGCTGTGTCCAGGCCCCTTGGCATGTAGAATGCATTCAATGTCCAGGCCACCCGGACCCCAGGCTCTTGGTGGTGTCTCCCTGTCCCCTCCACTGCAGGGACTACTGAGGCTGCTCACCATGGCCTCTGATGAGACTTGTCTGGGAAGAGCTGAGATTGGACGGGCGGGTGTCCAGAGCTGTGCCCTCCCTGCGTCACTGTCACCCCAGAACAGAGAAGGCCCCAAGCACAGCTTGGGGCAGGGCCGGTGCCAGCTGTTTGCAGGGAGGGCTGGGGATCTGGGAGTGAGCAGGGTGGCGAACACTGGTGTCAAAGGTGGCCAGGGCTGAGCCTGACCCTGACAGGTTTGGGGGGCTTAACCTCCTGGGTCCAGAGTAGATCAGACAGCTGGGGAGAGGGGCAGAGCCTGCTGCCTGACGCAAGGACTGAGGCCACAGCAGTGTTGTCGCTGAGGGTGTGAGTGGAGGCGTGGACGGCTGGGTGCTTGAGAACTGAGTCTCCAGAGCAGCACTGAAGGGGCTCAGCGGCCGTGATCCCGGGGGAGTGGAGGCTTCAGATGCGATTCAGGCAGGGGCAGAGCTGAGCAGGAGCTTCGGCCTCACAGCTCCAGGAACTGTGCAGGCTGGACAACAGTGCTGTGGAGCACAGGTGCAGTGCGGCACAGGGTGTCAGAAGTGGGAGAACCTGAAACCCCTGTTGAGAAAACACATTGGAAGCAGAGGCAAGAATTCTGTTCCGAGATAAAGAGGATTCCTTCCTATTTGAGGGGATCAGAGTCTGGAGAATTTGATAGAAATTCCCCCCAGAAGCACATGCAGGGGACCCCAGGCCCTCCTTGGGCCCATGTGTGCTGTGACCCCACCTCCTTTGAGGCTGCCTCTCAGGCCCCGGGGCAGAGGAAGCCTGGCCAAGGGAGGTGGCTTCCAGTGACTTCCCTGCCCTCAGGTTGCATGGAAGAGAAGAGGAAGCAGAAGCGGAGGCAGTGGAGGAAGCAAAACAACTGCTCAGGGTAGGCAGTGCCAGCACCCTTTCTGGTGCCCCGTAGTCACTCCAGCTCCTCCACCCTGCCCCAGGCTAACTCCTTCCAGCCCCCACCCCTCCAGGACTCCTTTGGAGCAGGCGGAACATTTTCAGTGCACCTTGAGATAACCAGGCCCTCACAGTGGCTGAGGTGGGTACAGCCAGAAACCCCACAGCCATCACACAGTCATGCAGTGGGCAGCCCTCCCCAGCTGCCACATCTCCCAGCTTAGAGCCCCCACTCCTCCCTGCAAGGGAGAGACTGCAGCCCCAATTCAGTCACGGGGGAGAGGAAAGGAAGCAGTGAGAAGCCCGTGGTCTTCAGCCGAGGTGTGCGAGAGCCAGCCTGGCTGTGTCCCTGGCCCCCTCAGGACACTGGTGACACTCTGGGGCCCAGATTGGCCAGATGGCTGCCCTTGGGGATGCTCCACTTTGAGCAGCCTGGCCCTAGAGCCCACCGTGCTTCTGGCCCAGACAATGTCAACTCAGACTCTGCTGCCCAGCTCTCCTGCTCACAGCCACGCAGTGCAGGGCTTGGTCCCTCGCCTGGTACAGTGGTGGCAGGGATGAAGATGTGTGTGGGGGCAGTCTTCTGTTTTTGTTGGGTTATTGGTGTCATCATCATCGCCCCTGGAGCAAAGCTGTGGGAGTGGGAAGGCCCAGAGCTGTGGAGAGGAGACCCTACCAGAGCCCCAGGCAGGAGGTGACCTGTGAGCTGGTCACAGGCATGGGGCAGTGTGAGGCCCAGCACGGGGATTCGTACCTGCAGAGGTCCTGGCACTACCAGAGCTGGATGGGATGTCTGAGATGGCAGCGTGAGGGACTGGTCAGTCACATGCTCTTCTGAGCCCTGCCCACTTTTTTTCCTTACTTTTTTTTTTTTTTTTTTTTTACCGGTACCAGGGATTGAAGTCACATCCACGCGCTTGCAAGGCAGGCGCTTATGCTGCTGAGCTAAATCCCCAGACCCCTTTCCTTACTTTTAAAAAAAAAAATTTGAGACAGGGTCTTGCTGTATGGTTCAGGTTGGCCTTGAACTTGTAATTGTAGTGACCCTCCTGTCTCAGCCTCTTGAATGCTAGGATCACAGGTATGTGCCACCATGCCCAGTTTCCTGCATTCACTCCTCTAATCTCCATGGTTACCCTATAGAGAGGGGACTGTCACATCCCTGACAGGTGAATGTAAAGAGGCAAAGAGGTGTGGCATGACCTGCCAAAGGATGCATGGCCTATAAAGTTGCAGAGCTGGGGCCCCCACCTGAGCTCATGTCCCAGAGATGCTCCCACACAACCTCCTGTGTGCTTACTGCATCCAGTGGGCTGGCCCAGGCCACTTCTAGTCCAGGACCCAGTGCCTCAGTGGTGTCTCCTTTGTCCTCCCAGGCTGACCCACCCATCCTTCTGAGTGACCTTCAACCTGGAGACATTGCAGGACAACCTCCTGAGAGGTAATGGGACCCACCAGGACTGTGGAGCTTGGGGACAGCTAGCTGGAGGTAATTGCTTCCCTTCTGTCCCTCCATAGTCCTGCCGAGCCAGTGCCCCAGCAAGCCCTGGTGCCCGTGGTGAAGGAGCTGGTCCCAGTCGGGAGGCCCTGGGGCCAACACTGCCTGTCCCCACTGTATCCCCAGCCACCCAGGTGCACCCTCGAAGCATCTCCAGAGGCGGGGCGGGGGGGTAGCCAGACCGGGGAGGGGGTACCTCAAATTCACACTAACCCTAAGCCCCCTCCTGCCTCCCACCAGGGCCACTCGGCACCTGCTGCTTCCCCCTCGGGTCCTGGGCCCAGTGCTGCTGCTGCTGCTGCTCTCAGTGCTGCTGCTGGGCCAGGCCCCGCCGCCCACCTGGCCCCACCTGCAGCTCTGCTACCTCCAGCCACCGCCTGTTTAGGCACCACCTCCCTCATCCCAGTTTGGTCCTCTCATGGCACCAGTGCACGCCATTGTGTTGGGAATTTATGTGGCATTGCCTGATTTCCTGCTGCTGTGACTCCATTTCTTAACAAAAACAAAAGGCACCCAGCAATAGCTTTGACACCATGGATTATTGATCTAACCACGAAAGACGAGCAGGGAAGGCGGCAAGGCCAGGATCTCTGCCACTCTGCAGCCTTCCCTCACACCCAGAAGATCACAGCTGTCATAGCTGCCAATATCCCATTGGGTGGGAGGGTGGGTGCCACTGCAGGGTCGGGCACATTGCTGCCCACGCTCAGTCCTTGTGTTAGTAGGGGGCACCGGGCAGGCAGATAAGTGGCCCACTGAGTGCATCCGGGGCGAAGGCAGACCACAGGGCCGGAGCCCACTGCACTGCCAGGCTGGATGGAAAGGGCTCCCGGAATCCAACTTCGGCCTCCTTCCTCCCTGGTCTGTACTCCACCCGGCCCCCATCAGGTAGTGACTGGCTTCAGCTGCCCTATGGCCAAGGCCAAGGTGGTTCCTGTCTAACTGCATCCTAGGTCGGTAGCCGCCCCTGGGTAACGCTGACCATCTTTACAGCTGTGCCGCGTTATGGTGTTGGAGACCCCCTCCTAGCCTCAGTTGGAGACCGAGAAACCCCCCCCCCCAGTTAGATCACCACATAGGAGCGTGGGACTGGGCTTGTGCAAAGGGTTCTTCCCAGATGAGTCGCACGTGCCTTTGGCCTTGGAGATGGTGTGGCCCGGTGACAGTGATTTAGGAGGGTGTGGTAAGAGGCAGAGGAGCAGAGTCTGTGCAAAGACCAGGCGGTGGAAAATAGACGGGGGGGGGGGGGAGGCGATGTCCCCTGTGCTGCGGTTTTTTCTGTTTTTTTGCAGCCCGGGTAGGGTCTGAGGCTGCGGTGTGTTGGGAAGTGAGATAAAGAGGTAGGAGAAAGCAGCGTAGGGGAAGAGCCCAGGCCATCCCCAAACCGCCAGACTCTGGAGCCCCGGCTCCGGGCGGGGCGCGTCCTGCGGTCTCGGGAGCGCGAACCCTCGCCGCAGACCAGAAGAGCGCCGGGTTGCTCCTTAGCTGCAGAATCCTGTCTTGCTAGAGTAGTGGGGAGTCTGCACCTTTGAAATTACTCGCATTTAGATTCCAGCTATCCTTATGTCCCTTGCTAGCTGAGAACTTGGGAAAATTACTGCTGCCTTTAAGTCGTGTTTATTTGTAGTATTAGGCCAACTCCCCGGACTTGTAAGGAACACTTACTCCTCCTCGTTGAAAGTCTGTGGACACAGTCCCGCCCCACAGCCTAAGGGCCAATGAGGGCGCGCTTGCCAACCAGTACGCACAAGCCCCGCCCCTCTGTGAAACTCCACCCTCCTCCATTTCAGACCAATCAGAGTGCGGTCCGCACGACCTTCCCCCTCCTCCTCTTTCGCCTGGTCGTGAGTCTGAGCCCGCTGCGGCTGGTGCGGAGTGTTTGGCTGATTAGGGTTGAGGAGCGGGGCCAAAGGACTGTCGGCCCAGCCTCCAGAGAGAGAAGCAGATTCTGATTGGCTGCCTCCTGGCTCCTCGCTTCACCTGCGGCCGAGGTGACTCCCCGCCTCCGCCCCTCCCCGCCTGGCGCCCCCTGCTCTCTCCGGCAGCTTGCTGTCAGAAAGCCCTAAAGAGGCTGCGGTGAGCCAGGAGGAAAGGCTCTAATTAAAGGATTTTTCTACGAGTGGAACTCTATGCTGAAGCACTGTATAGTACAGGATCTGGTTTAATCCTCATCTCACAGACGAGGAAAGGCAGGTTTAGAAGCCGTGTTCCTAAGGAGAAGTCTAGGGCGACAGCAATATTGAGAGCAAATGAGAGCTGAAGGACAGAGAACGGAGATCCGGAGGCCAAAGGAAAAGGAAGTCATGGGAAAGCCAAGCAGGGGAAAGGAGCAGGGTAATTAAGAAGGGAAGTTTCGGAACCAGAGTTGAGAGGGGAAGCAGAGATCTCCAGAAGGCCAGGCGCGCGGGAGGACACTCAGAAAAGGACCCAGTGAAGGGGCAGGGACACAGCGGGGACAGAGACGGCGAGATGACAGGGCTACAAAGAAGCGGCAGAGACGGGAGTTGGGAGGGCAGACGCAGTGCAAGTGCGCACAGAGGTCCAAGGCGAGGAGGACTGAGCTGCCTGGGCAGGGCGAGGTCGGGAAGGAGGAAAGAAGCCGGCTTCCCCGAGAAAAATGGAGCGGGGGGGGGGAGCTGGGCGTGGTGACGCACAACTGTCATCTCGGCACTCGGAAGACTGAGGCAGAAGGATCGCCGCTAGTTTGAGGACAAACGGGGCTACACAGTGAGACATTGGCAAGCGTGAGGTCCTGAGTTCGATTCATGGTATCAAAAAAAAAGCGGGGTGGGGGGCTGAAAGGTGAGACGTCCAGAGTGGCCGGCGCAGACCCCACACAGAGGCGCAGGACACTAGCGGGCGGAGCAGTCTTTATTGGCGGCTCAGGGCGTGTCCAGCAGCAGCAGCCGGTGCATGTACGAGTTCAGCCAGTGGCGGCGCTCGAGGGCGGCCAGCAGGCGCGCGCGCTCCCGGAAGGCCGCGTCGTCCGCCAGCGCCAGGCTGCGCCGCGACAGCCGCGTAGCTGGACCAGCCCGGGCCTGGAGGGAGGTGCGGGAGCTGCGCGAAGACGGGGAGGCCGGGTTACTGCGCACCCAGACCCCGCCTGCCGGTGCTCCCTGCGGTCTAACTCGGAGCCCGGTTACTGACCTGGTTAGGGATTCTGCCTCCCCTCCCTTTGTTTCCCACCCCAGTCCCTGGGTTCCCTCGGCTCGAAGCGCCCTGAGGACCCAGCCCTAGCCCAATCTTGTGCTCAGGTCACGGCCTTGCACAGCAGAACCGAGCCCGCCGTGCGCTGAGAATGAACTGATGTCCAAATCTCCGCTGCCTCGCCCACACCTGTCCCCTCATCTTCCTCCTGCCCCTCCACTTCCCTCCTCTTCTCCCTCGACACGGTGCCAGATGCCGCCCTCCCCTCTCTGGATCTCTTATCCCTCTCTTGGGCCTCTGTTCCCTTTTCTCTGGGTCCCCACCTCCCATGGGAGTCCTGGGTTTGGCACCTACCTGAGGACTCCCACGAGGGGCAGAGCGACACCCGAGGCGGTGTGGGTGTCCCAGGGCATGACCAGGAGCAGGAGCAGCAGCAGCCGCATCCCGGGGGCCCCGGACAACTGGCGAGTCTCCATCGCCTGTGGAGAGAGGACGGGATGAAGTCCAATCCCAGCCCAGATCCTGGCCCCCCAACCGCCCACCCCTAGGCTGCCCGCAGGGCACCCTACCGAGCAATGGGCTTGGGCCAGCCACACGGGCATCCCCCTTTTATTGCCTCCCCAACCCCCGCACTGGGCAGTGACGCAGGCTGGGCTGGGGGTACAGGGTCACTTCCCCCCCCAGGCTCATTAGGAGCTGCTGGCGGTAATGAGGAGCCGGGGGTGGGGGCCCTGCCACTGCTTGGCCGCCACCAACTAATTGGAACCAGGAGCTGGGACCTGAGACAAGGGAGGGGGAGAGAGACAGAGAGGAGGTTACAGGGGGTGTGTCAGAGGGATAAAAATAGAGGCTGTGGAGGGACCATGAGAGCACAAATCAGAGACAGAGAGAGGGACCGGGAACATAAGAGAGGAAGCACTGGTGACTGGTGACGGGAGCAGGCACAAAGGGAAGGAAGGACAGAGACAGAGGCCAAGGAAGGAAAGGGGATTAAGAAAGGGAGCAGCAGAGCAAAAAATAAAAAGGAAGAGATGGCGGCAAAGGGGAAAAGCTCTCAGACAGATAGAAGGACAGGAAGGACAGCAGCCTGTTGCACAGGCCCAGTGACAGCCCAGCAGGAAGAGACCAGCAAGACTGAAGAGCTGGGGACAAAGGAGGGACTGGAAGTGGCAACAGGCACCTGTAACAGGGCTGTGCAGACAGGTGACATGATGGGTAAACTTACAAACTCAGAAAGCGTGGGACAGGCCATGAAGCAGGGACACAGACAAAGACCCTGAGTTCTGGGCAGGAGTCAGGATATTGTGATGATATAGCCCAATACACCCACTGACTCTTACAGTATTTTGTTTTCCTTTGAGGCAGTCTCCTTATGCAGTCAGGATGACCTTGAACTCACTATGTAGCCCAAGCTGGTCTCAAACTCATGGCAATCCTCCTGCCTCAGCCTCCCAAGCGCTGGTATTACAGGCACGCACTACTACACCTGACTAAAAGGGGACTTCTATACCCAGTGGGGATGTGGGCGAAGGTTGGAAGTCCTAAAGGGTAGGACAATCTGGACCATGGGAACCTGGACTTCTAGTTCCCCAGACAGGAGGAAGCCAGAGCTTGGATTCCTGGGCCTAAGAGTGGATGAGATGAGGTGAGGCCGGGCACCTGGATTCCTGTATTCTGAAACAGGAAGGGCTGGCAGCCCAGACTCCTGGGTCTGAGTAGAGGGAGCTAAATTAGGAAGGAACTAGGGGCCTGGACTCTTGGGTTTGGGAGGAGAGGGCAGAAGATCCTTGGTTTCAAAGATAGTTTGATTGGGTGACATCTCTCTCCACATCATCTAGTTCCAAACTCCCTTCTCTACCCTAGAGACAATGTCTTTCATCCGTGTTCCTTTAAGAGCCTCAGTGCGTTGCTAGGCTCCCAGGATCCCCAAGGAGGGGGTCAGGTGCGTCACCTGTGCACCTATGGGACCCTATGCTGCCCCACCCAGAGTCAGTCTGCAGCGTTCACCTGTTTCTGCCTTCAGCCTCATTCACCTGCTGCTCCCCTGGACCCCACTGAGCAGGTAAGAGACCCCAGGCCCCAGCGACGCTGTCCATACAGGCGCCTGCCATTCTGCCTCCCCTTCCCACAGACCATGTGTGTATTCAGAACATCCTTAGTAAACAGGGAGCCCAGAGTCCCTGCTCCACACAGCTATGGAGTCCAGGCCAGGGCTCAGAGGTCCCTAATGCCCTCTAACTCAGGGCCCAGGATCAAGTTCAAGATTCCTAAGCCTCAGTCCTTGGAAAGTGTAGACATCTGAACACTCAGGTTGCTAACCTCTCGAAAGAGCCAGGGATGTAGACCCCTGGACCCTCTCCCTGGGGGAACCAGGAGTCTGAACCCCCAGCAACCTTCCTACCCTGGGGAGTCCAAGAGTCTCACTCCTCCCTCGGACCCCAGATGTCAGCCCCGGCCCTTCCTTCTGAGACTTCTCTTGTGTAAAGAACCTTGAGTATAGGGTCTTGGGGACCCTGGAGATGAAGGTGACCCCCTGTCCCCTAGAAATCTAATGCCCTCCAAAACTGTAATCTAGAAATTCTATAGGCTTGGAAACATACTATACTGGGCCTGCTTGGTAGGCATGAGATTGTGAGTTCGATCCCGGGTACCAAAAGAAAAGAAACATAATATACTTTCCCAATTTTACTGGGATCCCTCAAGGGAGTAAGGAAATTATCTGCACCTCCCAAGAAGCCAGCGCACCTGCCTCCCTTCCCTGCTGCTGACCCTCAGCTTGGGCCAGGCCTTAGCAGTGAGGATCTGCTCCCCTCTCTGACGCCAAGCAGGCCCCTTAAGGACCGGTTCACCTGGGACCTGGGAACCGGAGCAGCGGAGGGGCCTCTGGAGTGTGGGTGGGGGCTCGAGAGAGGGCGGGGCACCGCGGAGTGGGCGGGACTCCAGGAGGCTTTGGGTATAACCCATCCTTCCCGCTTCACTCTCACAGCTAGAGGCATCTCCCTGCGCTATGAAATTCTACAGTCCGATTCTCTTTCTCCTCGTCTTCCTCCTCGCCCTCCTGGGCTCCCAGGCTGCACCTTCAGTCTCTCCACCCGAGGGCTCCCATTTCCAGGTGATGGGCCACTCCGAGGCGACCTCCCCTGGCGCTTCTGAAAACACCACTGGAGACTGGCCTAACATGCAATTCTCTGGGACTGTTCATCCTGAGCCCCCCAAAATGCCTCATGCAGTTTCCCCTGAGAACACCCCCCTCGATGTCACTGAGACCCCCAGGCCTGATCTCCTAGAAACCCCACACCCACAGTCCCCTGAGACCCACCAGCCTGACCCACTCACAACCTCAGAAGCAGAATCCCTGGACAGCCGCCTTACTAACCCGTCCAAAGCAGCACTCCCAGAACCTTCTGAGATGCCGGATCCTACCCTGATAGACACTTCACACCTCGGCTCTTCTGAGACCCCCACACCTAGTCCCTCAAAACCGATACCCTCAAAATATCCTGAGACCCTACCTACTAACCATATGCAGTCCACCCACCAAGAGTCCCCGGAGATCCCCACACTCAACACGACAGAAATCTCACACTTTAAAAACCCTGACCCCACCAAGCCTCTTGAAACCGAATCTCTAGAAACCCATGATCCTGGCACCACTGAGACCCCCAATTCTCAATTCCCCCTGATCATCCATCCTGACCCCACAGAGATCCATCACCCCAGCCCTCCTGAAACGCTCCAAACAGAACTCCCCACATCCCAGCACCAGGATGCAACCAAGATCCCCAAAACTTTCGCCCCTGAAGTCTCCACTGGTTTGCACCCTGAAACTTCTGCATCCGTCAAGGACGTAGCCACTGCCCTCAGTGAGCTGCACCTGGGTCCCTACCCCACCCTTGCGGCCACCCAGCCTGATGCCTCTCAACCGCCTACCTCAGATTCTCCTGGGACCCGTGAACCAAAGGCCCTCCAAAACTCTGACCCCAAAGGCCTAAGAGCCCCTCCACCTTTAGCCCGGATTGTGGGCCTCCCTGCTCCTCCAGAGCCCCCCAGTCAGCTGCTCCCTGCAACTCCTCGGGCTCCTCAGCGGCGCAGCCGAGAGGAAAGAGTAAATACTATCATCGTGGTGGAGCACGTGAAAGAGACCGGTGAGGGATCAAGTCGGAAGTGGGTCTGAGGGAGGAGGCCGGGCCTGGAGTCCCGGGTCTGAGGGAGAAGTGAGCTAGGGTCTCGAATCATGAGCGAATCCCTCCACAGGCGTGACTCTCGTGGGGCGCCCACGCGGCTCGACTGGAGGCGCCCTATGCCTGTTCTTTGCTGGGACTGGGCTTTTGATCTTCATCGTCCTGCTGCTCTGGTGTCTCTACCGGCGGGCTGCCCGACACCGGCCCTTCGCACACCACCCGCTTCCGGACAGTGGAGACGAACCGGGTGAGTGAAGTGTTCCCTTCATTACCTGCTCGTTTCCTCATCCCTCTCTTGCCGGACACTTTCTGACGCCAGAAAAAAAAACACAGGTCTGCCATCCAGTCAGTGAAAGGCTTGACCCCTCCGCGATCACTTCTGTGCCTAAAAATCTGAGATGTCGCGCACGCCCGGCCCGCCCCTAGCCCAAGAGAAATTTGCCTGGAGTCCAGAGCCCCGGACCGCTGAGAGGACGCAACCAATCCCCGAGCTCGCCCCGCCCGCCCCGAGGCCCCACCCCTGGAGTAAGCCCCGCCCCCAGAGGCTCACCACGCCCCTTCATTTGTTCAAGGGGCCTTCCCGCTTTTCTTTACAAACTCAATTCTAGCGATGCTCCGGACTCCTCATTGGCCCGAGGCCTAGCAGTGAGATAGGCCTGGTCAGGCTAGGGGTGACCTCTTTCCTTTGCTCCTACAGTTATACATCTGGATGCCCCAAAGGAGCCCTACGACCTCTACTTTTATGCGCCCGATGCCTGGATACCTTCACACATCTCTACCAAACAGCCGCCACCCACACCCCCGCTGCCACCCAAGCTCCCCCCACCGCCCCGCGGGGGATGCCCCCAACGCCTAGAGCCACTGTCCCCCGAAACGCTCCCCAACAACTTTGTGTGAGCCCCTTCAGTCCCTGCATGTTCACAAGAGAGCAAGAACCCCTGTGTCCTGTCCTCCTGGAAGCTTTGCTACTTAGTGGGCCTCTTGGATAAAGAGTCCAGCACACAGGTGCTTTCAATGGCAACTGGAGAACTCTGGGCTGAATAAACCAGATGTTCCCATGGCTACGCCTCCTTGGGGGGGGGTAGGGGAATGGGAGCGAAGCTGGGTACCACCGGGCTCTGAGCGTCTGCTGGGATTGGGGATTAGGGGCTTGACTTTCTCTTTGGACACAGGAAAGGGCTGAGAGCTGGAGCCCAGGGCCAGCATTCCTGTGACCCAGAGTCATCGATCACTCAGTGTACACCAAAGCATTTTATTGGGAGTGGGGCCGGGCAGGATTTACAGTCACAGAGACAGAGACACCAAGACACAGCCCTGCCCGAGGATAAACACCCCTCTCCCCAGCCCCCTTCTCTTTCCTGGGATTCTGTGACTTCTACATATGTTCCCAGAATTCTAGGCTGAAGGGGGGTGTGAGAGGGGAAACATCCCAGACTTGTAAGTCATTGAGCCCCCTAGGGACATCACAAATGGCCACTGAGAAATGAAGGGTAGTCTGAAACCACCCAGGAGAATAAAGTGCAAAGGAACTGGGCAGAAAGGGGGCATCTAGAAACCACCACAGGAAGTTCAAAGATGGCGGCTTCAGACCACTGAATTAATAGACTTGAGCAGCCACTATTTAGACCTGAAAATTGTGTCAGAGAAAGTGCATGGGGTGGAGAGAGGCATATCATTAAAATGACCGTTTTGGTTATTTCCCCTAGACATGGCACAAAGCTAGGGATAAGATGGGGAACCTGGTGTTCAGCAGAACCTGCTGGGGGCCTGGGGGGGGGGACGGGACTTAAAACCGCCATTTTCCTTCAGAAACGCTGGTGAGAATCAATCCCTGGAATGGCGGGGATGGGCGATTGGTTAACCCAACCTAGAAGATGCAGACTGTAGTCCGGAGAGATTTGGAACTTCTAGAGGAGGACATTGAATTTTTCTGAAGGGGAGTGCTAAGTAATCCCAGGGATCAGCCTGAGAATCCCTTGGGTCAGAGGAAAGGAGGAGTTGCCTCAAAACCACAACAGGACAAGGTTAAACTGTCCATTAAAATAAAGCCCTGAAAGGAGAGATTTCAAACAATTGAGGCAGCACAAATTGAGGAGGGAAAACTTTAGGGAATTTGGGTATCCTTGAAACCACCAGACTGCGGCTTCACTACCCCTGAGAGGCAGTTGGGATGGGAAGAGGTTTTGACAGCACTGGGAATAAGAAAGAGTGCTTCTTTAGGCCTGAAGCAGAACAGAGAGGACACTGTCACTCAGGCCAGAGTTGTATGGAGGTCCTGGAAACTGCCATTCAGTGGGAGGCACATGGTCAGTAGTCCCGGACAGGGGGTGGGGGCCTTGGGGGCTGAACTGTGCTGTGTATGGCCCCATAGGAAGGAGGTGGGGCAGGAGGAGCCCCAGGAGGCTCAGCCTCATCCTCCATTTCACTCTCGTCACTGCCAGCCAGTTGGTCGTGGCCAACGAAACCACACTTCTCCTCGCTCATCTCCTCTGGCTCGGCCCACGGCTGCTTCTCTCCGGAAGCGAAGACCCCATAGAAGATGACGCCCCCGTAGTGCACCAGGGAGGCGATGAGGAACACGTACTGCCACTCCTCCCGCGTCTGTGGGGGAACCACAGGGATGGGGTCAAAGAAGGGGCCAAAGAAACAGGATGCAGCGGGGGCCAACGGGCGCCCACCTTGTGCTTGGTCATGGCACCCACGATGATGGGGCACACCATGCCCGACAGCGTGCCCACCCCGTTGGAAATGCCCATGAGGATGCTGGCATAGCGTGGTGCGATGTCCAGGTGGTTCACGTTGAACCCTAGTGGGAGAAAGGTACGATGCATCACACTGGGACACTCCTGACACCCTGTGTGGGGTGCACCTTTGTGAGGCAGCTTCATCCTAAGCTGATCAGAGACCCCCACACACACTACAGATTTGTGCTTCTCACCCGAGATTGCGAAGCCGCTGAAGCCCACGGCAAGAACCAGGAAGGAGATGGCGACGCCCTTGGAGTGCGAATAGCCCACCACCAGCAGAAGCGTGGCTTCCATGCCGAAGCCTGCAGAGTGGCAGGTCTGCTGAGCGCCCCCAGTCCCGCGCAATGCCCCCCCCCATTCCAGCAGCTCCACCCACGATTCCAGCACCTAGGCCCCCAGCGGCTGTTTGTGGCCCTAGGGCTGGAGATCCAGGATCTATGTCAGATCCGTGTACCTTCTCATTTTTCCTCTCTGCTTCCACTCCAGGGGCGGCTCATCCTCTCCAGACCCCAACTCTGAGCCTTTTTTTTTTTTTTTTTTTTTGTCTTTTTCCTTTTTATCGGTAGGGAGGATCAAACTCAGGACTGCCTGCTTGCAAGGCAGGCGCTTATGCCGCTGAGCTAAATCCCCAGCCCCTCTGAGCCCTTCTTTCTCCCTAGTTGGTAGCCTGCTGCCCGCAGCCCCGAGTAAGCCTCACCCTTACACTCTGAGTTCGACCGCCCCTCAAACCAGTCCACAAGGTGGTCTCGGCCTGACTCAGACGTATTAGTTCCGTGCAGCTCCGCCCTCACCCATATCTGTCCAATCAGCTTCTCTTTGACCAGGGCTCTGCCCATACCCCACCCTCTCAGCTCGCCCATTGGTTGTGCCTCACAGCGCGCTGCTCCGCCCAGGAAGACCAAGGCCACTTGCAGCCCCGCCCCGACCACGCCCACTCACCCCCGCAGTTCATCAGCTTGCGCACGTTGGTAGTGGACATGATGCGGCGGCTCCGCAGGAAGTCGGCGATCTGGCCACCAATGGGCACGATGATGGTCATGACCAGGTGAGGCAGCGCCGAAACCAGGCCCACCTGGGAGAGCAAAGTACGGAGTAGTTGTAGGGAGGGCCTCGGGGGTTGCCACTGGGTTCTCTGCTCCCTGCATCTCTATGCAGACCCCGTTCAGGTCTCCTCTCCTCCTGCCAGGCCCTACCTTGCTGATCTCGAAGCCGAACACTTCTTCAAAGTAGGCGGGTTGGGAGATGAGGAGCAGGTAGAACGTCCAGCTGCGGCAGAAGTTGGCCACGATGATGGCATACACCGGCATGGACGTGAAGAAGCGCCGCCAGGGGGTGTTAAACTTCTGCAGGGTGGAAGGGGCTGCTAAGACTTTGGCGCCCAGGACCGGATACTTCGCCAGGGGTCTTGGGGACTTCGCTAGACTCTCTCAAAGAGCCAGGGACCCTGATTTTGCTGAGATCTCGGAGACCCAAAGGCATTAGCCACAACATGTTCCCAGTGGTATCACCAGGTGACAGTTCATGGCTGCAGGGCTGGCGCGGGCTCACAGTGACCCCTCAGGTTCGAAGATGTTTGGACCCCAGAGTCAACCTCAGGGACTCATAAATGTGAGCCCAGAAGTCTCACTATACAATCACATCCCTTAAGTGTAGCCTCACTCACTCGAAAGAATAGTTGTTTTTTGAGAGGAGGCCTCCCTGTGTATTACTTTTTTTTTTTTTTTTTTTGGTCTTTTTCCTTTTTATTGGTACCGGGGATCAAACTCACAACTGCCTGCTTGCAAGGTAGGCGCTTATGCTGCTGAGCTAAATCCCCAGCCCCCTCCCTGTGTATTCTAGGCTGGCTTTAAATTCACCCTGTAGCCCTGGCTGCCCTGGAATTCATGGTGCTCCTCCTGCCTCACCCTCCTGAGTGCTGGAATCACAGGTGTGTGCCACCATGTCCGGCCACATCCTAATCCCCACATTCTAATTCGGTCTCCTCTGCTTTTAACCACGACTCATCCGTGCTTCTAGTTCCCTGCTAATCTCTCCTCCACCAGGTGCTCTCGGGCTCTCAGGGTCTACACCCCACCCCCTTCGGTTCAGTCCCATCTCCTCTGAGAGTCTTCAGGAACCTGCCAGGATCTACATGGGGTGCAGGCTCGAGCCCCACTATGCCCCCGCCCCTCCTTGCAGACTGGGCCGGACCGTGAGGGGGTTCATGAGCTTGGCACTCTCGCCGATGGCGTCCTCAATGTACTTGCGCTCCTCCTCCGAGATGCTGGGGTGCAGGGCAGGGGACTCGTAAGAGACGAGCAACCAAAACAGGTACCAGAAGATTCCGAAGCTGCCTGAGGAGGGTCAGGAGGGGTATGGGAGCAGGTGACAATGGGTCCCACTCCTCCCCAGAGCCACCTGGAACCAGGAATCCGGGTCCCTTACCGTAGACATAGAAAACAGAGCTCCATCCCGAATACTGCACCAGGACCCCAGCAAGAGGCATTGCCACCACTGCCCCGGCGTAGGAACCTAAGGGGTGTGGGGGTGGACAGAGAACACACCCATCTTTCGTGGATCCGGAAGAAGGACCCTTCCAGCCCTCGCCTTTCTGGGACACAGAGGTACAGGCCACAGGCCCTGTCCTTAATCGCAAGAGCTGTGTCCTCTTCTCCCTTCCTCTCACCGCAAAAGGCTGTCGTGGCCAGGCGACTCCGTTCTAAGGGTGGGGCCCATTTGCTCCAGATCCCATGGCACGCAGGATACGTGACCCCCTGGAGAAGAGAAAACCCAGGTCAAGGAGAAGAGACCAGGTCAGGGGGCTGGCCGGGTTGTAAGAGGCTGGGCTTTACCTCTACCAACCCCTGCAGGATCCTCACGAAGATGACACAGCCATAGTGGACACGAGCAGCCGATGGGATCAGCATGTTTAGCGTGGAGGTGGCCACAATGGCAAAGCCAAAAACCCTGTGAAGGTAGGAGAAGCGGGTCCAGCTATTCCGTAGGATTCTACCCTTCCTGTGACTCCTACCTGGCCCAATCGCAAGCCCCACCCTCAACCCCAGTCTCTTCCATTTTCTCCAGATCAAACGTCCCTGCAATTGAAAATCACACTAAGTCCACCCACACAACTGTAGCTCCCACCCATCTTGAAATCCCACAAGGCACCTGTTGGCTGCGAATTTTTGGCAGATAAATCCTCCAGGAATCTGAGTGACAATGTAGCCCCAGAAAAAGGAGCCATGTATGAGGCCGACAGTCTCTGGATCCCAGGAGAACTGGGCTTTCTGCAGACCAAAAGGCACATTAAACCAGCGG